CTGGGCGCCTCCTGGGGTTGGTGTTCCGGGCATGTCCCACCGGGAGGAGGCCCCGGGGCAGACCCAGGACACGCTGGAGAGATTATATCTCTTGGCTGGTCTGGGAACGCCTTGGTGTTCCCCCGGATAAGCTGAAGGAGGTGGCTGGGGAGAGGGAGGTCTGGGGCTCTCTGCTTAGGCTGCTGCCCCCGCGACCCAGCCCCGGATAAAACGGATGAAGATGGATGGATGGATGGATGGAGTGATATTATTACAGTCAGATAATCAGAGCAAATTACCATTTTATTTCTCCCCAGTAGTGAACTGACACACAAAAATCAGCAGCAGCAGCTCAGAGGAATATAACAGTTTGTGTTTCTTTCTATTTGGTGACTTATTGCAGTGTTGCTTAAATTTAATCCCATTCACTTTGCTGTTTTTGTAGCATTTTTTTTTCTTGACATTTTTGTGTGTAGAAGAGAAAAAAGATGTCCTCATTGTTAATGCTCCAAACAAAGCTCAGACTGTGCAGCACAAGCCCTGAGGGGCAAGTTCACAGGCAGGGTTTCCTTGTGTTAGCTGGCTTAATACAACCTAAAATCAGAAGTAATGGATATCATAGTTTGTGGTCGTTGCTAACCCAGGCTGTCTGTTCCAGGCTCTGTTTGCGATCACATGTAGCGACGCACAGTGCGCCCTGTGCTTCAGCTGAGAGGAACACGTCACACTATGAAAAATCCAAAACAATAATAACATTTCACAAATAAGGCAAGAAAGCAATATTTATTCATACTTCCCCCCTGAGTGCATGCTCAGTGCTGCTGTTCTAAAGCTGCCACGTTAAAAGCTCTGAGACTTTAAACTTGATACATTTGAATATGTTACTCCAGAAGCTCATTTAAGTCTGGCATTGTCCCAAAGTGAAGAGCACCCAGAAAATAAAGTAAAATTAAAGTGAAATCAATTTTCTGCCCCCTGTTCTGTTTGCTGCAGTAAAAGCGTTGTATTGTTATCAGGATGAAGCATAGAAATCTAAACAATACATGCATTTTCTGCATAGTTACTCAACACATGTGAATTCCTGCAGCAACCGTTTGTGCTGTTGTGCTGAAGTCACCAATCTGTGTGTAACATGGCAGACTGGTATCACCTGCAGTTGACTCCCATGTGTTTGCTGTGGGACATTGGCACTAATATGGCTGTGATTGGTTGGGTTGAATCAGAATCAGAAAGACTTTATTTATCCCAAAGGGGCAATTAATTGAAGGCATGTGCATTTAATTGTACTTATACTTTACTCTACTTATATTTCACACTTCAAACACTGCTGCTACATTTCCCTGTCTTTCTGCACAGGCCAGGGCCCATGCTGCCGCCTAAAGGTGGGATTGGCGGCCTACTCCGAATGGGGTCTGGGAAAACAACTGCTGTTCCCTGTTGCAGGTGTCAGCGTGTTATAGAACATAGCTGACCTGTTGCATAGCTGATCCTTGCCTTGGACTGTGCGTTTTGTTCTTTTTGGAAGTGGGACAGTGACGTGAACTGTTCTGCTTTCCAGTATCAAGGCAACTGTTTCCCCTTAAAGTCAGGTGTTCTCCTGAATGTTGGCCAGGACTAGAACCAGAGTGTTATCTGTGGGTCAGCTGGTTTTCTCATAAGTTAGTGCAGCTGCTAACAATCTATCCCACTCTATATAGGGGCCACTCTTAAAGCATATTAACAGGACGAGTATTAATGAAACGCTGGTGCTGATTTTAAACTCAAACAGCAGGTTAGGTGTTCAGCATGGGTTACACTGATGATTAGACTAGGTTAATAGAGAGACTTTGTGACATTCAAAACTGGCTTTAGGCTCAAAATACAAGTTGGGTCACCTGCCACTTTATTAGGTACATTTGTTCATCTGCTTATTTACTTAAATATCTGTTAATCTAGTAACGCAGTGCATGTAAATATGCAGGATGAAATTCAAACTAAGAAGCAGAATGGGGAAGAAAAGTGATTTAAGTGACTTAGAACGTGGCATGACTGATGGTGCCAGATGGGCTGGTCTGAGCATTTCAGAAAGTGCTGAACTGCTGGGATTTTCCCACACAGCCATTACTGGGGTTTGCAGAGAAAGGTCCGAAATGGAGAAAATATCCAGTGAGCAGCAGTTCTCTGGGTAAAAATGCCTTATTGGTGCCAGAGGTCAGAGGAGAATGGCCAGACTGTGTCGAGCTGATAGGAAGGCAATAGAAACTCAAGGAACCACTTTTTATAGTCAAGGTATGCAGAACAGCATCTCTGAATGAACAACACGGTGAATCTTGAGGCAGATGAGCTACAAAAGACCACACCAGGTGCTCCTCCTGTCAGCTAAGAACAGCAAACTGATGCTACAGTTCACACAGATTCATCAAAGTTGGACAATGTAAGACTTTGACCTTTTCCACTGAAACATTCAGAGTTTGGACAAATACCATTAAAGTATGGACCCATCCCAAGAATGGCACACTTTGGGCTCCTTATTTCTAGCTGAACGTTGTTTAATGCCACGATGGCTTGGTGACCATGCAGATCCCTTTATGACCACAGTGCACCCATCTTCTGATGGTTGCTTTCAGCAGGATAATGCACCATGTCACAGAGCTCAGATCATCAAACGGGTTTCTTGAACATGGATTTAAATCTCTGAGGAATGTCTCCAGCGCCTCGTTGCTGAAAAACACCATGAAGAATTGAGGCAATTCTGAAGGCATGTACCTAAGGTGTACCCAACAAAGTGGTTGCTGATCTTGTGGCTTCTTTTATTTTCAATAATTTGGTCTGTTTAAATTTGCCGACTATAAATTAAGTGCAAAAGTAAATAAAACACGTCTCCTGCAATAATTAGTGTAGAAAGGATCATTTGGGATACATTAAATGTAATGTTTGGTAAAAATGGAATTATTGGTAATGTATTGTTTTATTAAAGATAATATTTTATAGAAAATTTAAAGGTAAGAAAACTGGAGAAACTGGTTGATTACTTAGTCCTCATTTTCTTTTCTGACATTGAACAACAAATAAAAACAATCCCGTTGCTGGGTTCACTTCCTCAGCCTGATGAGAAATGAAAATAAATAGATGCCGAGAGCTTAGATAAAAACAAATACCGACGATGTTGTTTTACCATTTTCATGCTAATTATAGAGTGTGCAGTGAATTATTAAAAATTCATTTCATGTCACTGTTTGTTGCTCATTATTGAATTCATTGTCTTGAAACAAGCCTTAGATAAGGTTCACTTGGTTTCAATCTGGTCATCAGCTAGAGCAGATTTTCTCTTTTCTGAGTCGCACTCAGACCTAATCTACATTCCAGTGCTCGCTTGGTTGGACGTCCAGCTGTTCGCAGCATTTTCCCCGCTGACAGAGAAGGAGCCAGGCGCTGTTTTCTGCTGATAGCTCTCTTGAACAGCAGATAGAAAAGCTGAGCATCCCACTTACAGATGTTTGTGATCATCGCTCCAGTGAGATTAAATGCAAGCGAGACGGTGGCCAGAGATTCAACTCACAGAGCAGCGGCCTGGTCCTCAGGCGGCCTGCTGTATTGGTTTTGGAGGGCGAGCAGAGCTTTGGTGAAAAGAAGCTCCCTCGTCTGGGTAGAGAGCCAGTTTTCATGCGTCAGGGAGTTTGGGGCTAGATGTGCTACAAACGAGGGGTGAACGAATGAGCTTATGGTTCTATGGAAAAGTTCACACACTGAACAACTGACTTTAATACCTAGTGCAAGAGTTATGGTGTTGTCGTGAGTTGCAGTCTCTCCAAAATGTTAAAGCTCTCAGCCCTGCTTTGGCCAGTGATTTTGTTTCTTGGATGGAAGAAAGCCATCGGGGCTTTGAGATGTCAGACCTCATTGGTGTATTTATGGTGTGTGTGCATGCATGCCACGCTGTCTGTGAATTCTGCACGCTCACTTGTTAATGCTTGTCTGCCACGTATATGAGTTTTTATTAAAGGATGCATTCGTTTTTAATCACGCTGTAAAATGTATTTGTCTTGTTTATTTTGACAGAACCGGATTAATGTTGGCAGAAAAATGTTAATGGCCAGTTACTGTGGCTTTTAAGAACGTCTTAGAGAATAAAGATGGAGAAGTCTTGTCCAAACGGAGAGATTTAGCTCAGTAAGCCACAGCATTGCACTGGCTGACATATTCCTTCATTACCATAAGCACGCACACTCGAGTTTATTTTGACTCATTCCCACATTTGCCGCCCTGCTGCCACTAATGGTTAGAGAGTACCAAATGTCTAATTATTCATGGCTGACAATAGTCCCTTAAGGTGTCTACACACAGTAAGACTTCAGAATTTTGTTTAGTTTACTGCGAGCTCTGTGTGGCATAGGTCTAATAAACTTGTACATGTAGGCTGTACAATGATCATTTCTACTGAATGCTAGACTACAATGACATCATACGAACATAGCTCCTGCTGCTACAACTCAACTTTTTTTTTTTTTAAACATCCAGTCTGTTTGGTGTTGTTTTGGGCTGTTTGTTCTCAAGACCATTACAAATGACATGGGCTCAAAATGGGCTCTGGCAGGTGGAGGAACCATAAGATCCTGGTAGCGGTTCAGTTTTCAGTGAGGAAAAAAATGAGTCATTTCAAAACTACCAAACTTGTGAGCTCCAATTCACCCAGACTCTGAACAGGCTGTAGTCAGCTGACCTGTGCTGATCCCATAGATTGGCTGCTGGCTCTGAGGTTTAGTTCTCTTTGTGGATTTAGCCAAATACATTTCACGATATATAAGCAGATGTTGCATGAGCTATCGTGGCTACTTTCCGATTGGCAAGTACTTCTTGTGAGCATCATCAGTTTAAATTCAAACTGACGTCTGCCGCCCTTGAACTAACCCGGTATGAGCGACACCAAGCAGTGATGGCTCAGACGGTCGAGCAGGTTGTGTGCTAATTGGACGGTTTGTGGTTTGATCCCTGAGTGTGATTTTTCACAGTGCATAGAACACATACATATGTGTCTGAACACGGCTTATTCTCACATAGCATGAAATTATTATCATTCAGTTTGCTGTGTATGTGTGAAATAACCAGATCATTTTAGCAAAACATATGCAGAGCTGTGCAATATATGCTTGGCGATACTTACGGAGAGAAAAGTTGCGTGTTAAATTACTTTGTGCTTTTGCTCCTGTGCTCTACCTAGATGCTGAAGTGAGCACAACTTTATTGACAACTGAATGGACACAGATCAGGCATGAGAGGAAAAAAACAGATGTGTGTATAGCTTGCAGGTGGGACCATGAGATGAATTTACTTTCTGAGCTCTATGAGATCACTTAGAAGGACGTGTGGGTAGAAGCACATACAAAAGGAACTCAGTTTGTATCGTTATGTATTAAACTGCCTGATTTGATTTATTTGTTATTAATTCATTAATTGCTCCCTTTAACTCCAGACAGTGATCATTTTTACCCTCATTCACAGTATGATCGCAGCCAACAGCATCACCAAGATCCTTGGGCACCTCTGGACTAACCAAGAAATTGCAAAGTGGATACTTTGCTTAACACGTCCTAAACTCACCAATGTTTCATTAGCATTTTATCTGGACTACAGTTTCAAAGTTTTAAAGTTTTCCATTTTAAATGACAAGAAATGACTCTGTGCCTGACTGGCTGGACTTTACATAACTACATTCAGCTAATTATCAAGATCATGAGCTTTGCTGTATTACTAGTCCAATTAATCATCTGTCAGTCACACCATAGCAGCCTGTTTGGGCAAATTTTTGCACTGAATTAATAAGTTTCATGTCACTTAAAAATAAATCAACTGTGCTCGCTAACCCTGGAAAAAAGCAACATTATATTTCTGATATTTCAGCAGAATGCAAATGTGCCGGTAGCATATTTACCCTCAGGATTATAGATATATGTCTGCAGTAACACTCTATGATACAAATAAGATGAGCAAACATTCTTCAGAAACATATTTGTTTTTTGTGGGGATGGTGCTCTGCGATGAATTTCAATTCTACGTTTTCAGTTAGATTTTTGTATTCTGACTGTGTATGCATGTGCACTACTGTCGCTCTGTGTATCCAAACCTTGCAAAAACTAAACAATAATAGAGTGAATATCCTTCATTGCACCAGAGTATATATGTGGTGTTTGTTTTTTAGGTACAGTGATTTGGGATTTCCATTTACTCATTTTTGCTGTCTCTAGATCGTGTGTTCTGAACTTGACTTTTGCTCAGAATAGATTAAAATAAAGCGTAGAATTAGTTTAAAAAAGCCACAAAGTGAAGCTTAGCCCAAAATCCCAACAGATAGGTGATGACATTTATTTCCAACCCACATCAGCTCAAGGCTCAGGTAGAATATTTTTTGTTGGTAAATTTAATTCAAAGCATACTATTTAAGCTGTTTTACCCGGCCTACAGTTGCTGCGGCATCTGAAAGTCACTTTGCAATCCTGCTCATCTTCTTCATGATGTGTTTGGATCTTCTATGCTCTCCAAGCCTCGCACACTTTTCACATAGAATTCCACTGCAGCCAGACTGCTTGACACCATTTTTCTCGCAAGCATCAGTCAGCTGCAAGATGGAACCAACTTAGCATCACTGTTGAGTTTGACAACATGAAATAGTTGCATTTCCTACTTTGTTCCTTGAAAACTGTTCGCTGTTTTTCCGGTTTCTCCAACACCATCATAAATAACCTCTTTATGTCCCTGTAAATTTTAATATGTGCACTATACGGCAGTGGCTGTTCTGCCAGAGCCAGAATTACATTTTCCCCATTTTGTCACCTTGAAGTTTAGCATGATCTCCAACTCGAATATCCAGTATTCTTGATCTTCAACGTGGGTGGGCGTGTTCTCGACACAGCAAGTCTCTTTCAGGACCACGCCCGCTGGCTCTAGCACCACCCATCTCACCCGCCTGCTTTTTATTAAAAATGAATTAAATGCTCGTGACACTTTCCATGTGAGAATCCCATTATGCTCGTATGCGTGTGGAAGGCCTGGAAGGTCTCAGAACAGAGCCATAGCAGCACATATAAATTATTGCACATGGAAATAATCTTCTTTTCACTTTGGTGGTGTTCTTTAGAAATGTTTGAAAACTGGATGAATATTATTGAAATTACACAGCTGTACACTGGTTGATCAAATATTGTTAAGAATTATTCAGAACTTGCTGATGTAACTCAATGTTGTAAGCTCATATGAATACCATGACTGTAACTGTGATTTTATCCAATGAATTGGTCATGGCCACCAGCATTAACAAATTAGGGCTCTTTTATTTTAAACTGTTCACCTTTTACACATTGACAGTTAACACAGACAAGCCTTTGTGGTCCCTCTGGCCCGAGACATGGTCAGTGACAACGTGTGCTGGATATCGACTGGGATGGCTTATGGTGGATGGAAAGCTTTCTCTCTCTCTCTCTCTCTCTCTCTCACACACACACACACACAAACACACACACACGCGCGTGCGCGCGTGCACACACACACACACACTTATGCAAGAACGGATACAAAAAACACACAGTACAACATATACTAACCATCTAACATAGTCTAACCATCTAATGTAGACATCAACGGAGGAGGGGCTTAAAGTGCATACAGGAACAGAGGAGGGCTTTGCTCACTCCTACAATTTGTAACAACCTTTTAAATTATGAGTGACAGTAATCCTCCACCAAAGCAGTGATCTAAGTGCCACGCTGCATCTTTACAGAAAGCATATCCCCACCATATTTTAGCTCAAACGGCGCCTCGCTTCATGAAATAATGACACTGCATAGTTCACGGGGTTAGTCTTATATATTATTGCGGTACAATGTAGGTTCAAGTCCGGGGTCTAGGCATGAGCCATGGGCAGCAGGATGGCACAGAAAGCATGTAAAGTCCAGTGAGATTAGAGAAATAAATCCAGCATGAGAAAGCACCCGATGCTCTGAATGGAGGTTAATCCACATGTGGAGAGGTGAGAAACAGTACAGGTCCGATAATGACACGATGATGTTCAGTATTCTGGATGCATAGAAGGAGTACGTTTGCCGAAAGCACTCCTGGTCTGGTCTGGGTGACCCGTATGGTCAGTTCCTTGAGCAGAGGCAGAGTAGCTCCAGCTGGGTCGAACGGGTCAATAAGGGGCAAATAGGACTTGTGGATGGGAGGTCCTGACAGGCCCGGGAGCTGGGCGGAGCAGTGCAGCAGGCAGGGTTTGTGTCTGAAAGAGCGCAGGGGTCGGGGTGTGATTAGTGGCGCTGTTCGTGCGGTGCGTGAAAGAGTTGCCGATGGCTGCGGCAGCTGCTGCCACTGCCGCCAGGTGAGCAGGTATGATCTGTGTGGTCAGAGGGTGACACTGGCGCTCCTTCCCCAAAATCAATTTTATCTGGTGGAGACAGGGGAAAAAACAGTTAATACAGCCTTATATGTGCACAGGCTAGAGAGAGCAAGGGAACGGTACAATCAAGACATCTCTGCAAAGCTGTCACACAAAGTAAACGTATACTCTAAACCAGGCAGGATACAATTCCTAGTATGTTACGTTTTCACAGCGATACAAGAATGTAATATTCTTTCATTTTAAAAAAACAAGATGGCTTTTGGTTATTGAACGTGATCTAAAGTTAGAGCAAATAGGTGTCCAGGACAGAAGCATAAATCTAAATTAAACTGCTAAAATCAAGACAAGTTTTGCTGTTTGTAAATTAGGCAAACTACCAATCCTGCTCGGTCTGCTTGGACCCACATTTTACAACGTTCAAACATTTTATTCAACTGCTGGATAATTAAAATAGGTCCTGCATACCACATCAGAAACTCTTTGTATTTGCTCACTGAACATATTAAATTTACTTTTTCCTGCTTAAGTTTCTGTTTTTGTTTACAGGTTGGTTGTGAGACCAGAGGCCTTTATTATGAAACAGGATTTTATCTTCTCCAGGTAACTTCAGGGTTAACGTGGGATTTCCTGTAATAGAAGGGGGTTCCAGCCCCAAGTCACATTCCAGATTAGTGATCAATAGATATGAAATCATGACCTATTGACTAATCAGTTCTCCAGAAAATAGCATCAATTCTCAGATCTCTGCATGGATAGTGGACGTTTTTTTTCCCAGATGAAAAAAAGTAAAAATTTATTCCTTGATATTTTTTCCTCTGTTGGCTGGGAACTATTTTTTGTTGGATAAGCATGAACGTGATCCTAAAGCCGGACATCTATTTGGACCTCCTGAATTTGCACATTGACTAAAGTCTAATTATATAATGAAATATTCAATATTAATTCATCAGATTCTCCCAAAGTTTAATGATAGAGTTGTGATATTGATAACTTCCACATTCTGCATTTATGCTGGATTTCTTTTGTGGCTTAGAATGGGGTAAACGTTATTAAGCTAATAGAGCTCCTCCAGTATCACTGACCAAACTGTTTAAAGGTCTCACACATTCATACAGCAATAGGCTAAATAAACTAAATGTGCAGTGCTTTTCCTCTCACACGCTCACACCGCTGTTCTCTCTACAGCCGCTGTGCTACTTCCAGTCTGTATCCTGTGTTTAAGCTCTATATATTTTTCTAATATTCCAGTTTTATCTTCCTTTGTAAAATCCGCTGCTCTGCTGCCAGGAGGCAGAGCTGAAGTAGCTGGAGTTGAAGATGCTAAGATTCTAGTTTGAACGACAAGGAGAGACAGGATTTTCAGAAATGAGAGTATCAGAGGGGCAGCTCAGGTCGAGCGGTTTGGATTTAAAGTTAGAGAGGCAAAGCTGAGATGGTCTGAGCAGATACTGAGCAGGGAGAGCAAGTATGTTGGGCAAAGGACATTAATTATGGAGCAAGGAAGGGTCATGGAGCTACAGCGATGGAGAACAAGCAGAGTGGGTGAGACAGAGGCAGATGATGTGCTGTGGTGTCTGCAACATACTCAAACTCTAAACTGGGATAAACTTAACTGTAGTAAATAAAATGCATATAAGCAGAAAACTGACAGCATTGCTAAGGCTGTGAGATGAGGCAAGAGACTTCAATGGGGCATCAAACAGGTGTCAGAAATCAGCTGCTAATTGAAACAGTTTTGGCATTTGCCACAGCTGAGATGAGAGTATGTCCAATATTGTTGAGCCGTGTTATCATCAACTCAACCTATTCAACTTACTAACCAGTTCTGCAGACCTAATAAGGAGAATAATTCAGTGGCAGTGTTTCGTATAATCGAGATTATGTCCAAAAATGAGATAACTGCTTTAATAATATACTCTCACAGTTTTAACAGAGAAGGAAAATGACTAAAAAATGGAATTAAAGACAGAATATAAAACTCATGATGTGACAGGGACACAAACAGTGCCTGACCTCCAAGAAAAGCCTAAAAAAAGGGTTTAAAGGTCACCAAAGTTATCTGGCTTAATCTTCTGTATCAGTATTCTCATGGCACCAGTATGGCAGCACTTGTCATGGATTATCAATCACTGATTCAGGCACCGAAGCCCTGTGGGATGCATTCTTTGCTCTGTGCTCATCAGAGAAGCTCCTCTCCGTTAACTCAGTCAATGATGGGTTTCAGAAAAAGTCATTTCCCCCACACTGGTAACCCCCATGCTTCGTCTCAGCAAACAGTGGGTGTGATGAATGCGCTTTTCTGGTGCCTCTTTTGTAAGATGAAAAGTTCGGCTGTCCTTTATCTTCCCCACTTTGATTCCATAGGGCTCATTATTGCATGCTGCTAATCATGTGTCATATGACACTCAAAAATCCTTTAGCAGTTGTCTCAACTCGCTGGGAGTGCGAGAGAGATCGAGTTTTCTACAAAATGCCAGAAAGTTAAACAATGACCTCAAGAAAGTATTTGAAAGTTTTCTTTTCAGTGCATTTCTCTTATTCTGCGGTTTGTCAGCTTGCCTGACTCTAATATGAACTGCTGTGATGCTGAAGACCACAGTCTGGGGCACTCCAAATAAGTTAAAACTGACATTTACAATCAAGTCTAAACAGCGTTCAACGCGAGCCTGCCTTCCACCTCCAGCACGCTGGCTCAGAAAAGCCTTCAGCCGTGCCATTTTTGTCAATAAAATATCAAGTTTTCAAATTAACTGGCATCGCACACTGTCACAGGTTTTTAATAAAAGCTGGATAAGGGGTGATCCTGTTATGAGAGCTGACATTTTACTGAAACAGGAACCGTCGAGTGGACTGAGCATGCTTAATCAAAAAACACTTTAGTAGAGATGCGCAGGATTTTGTGCTGACAAACAAAGAAATTCTGAGTGTTGGTTTGTTTTCTGTTCTTTCCCACAAAAACAAAGTACGACAACAAGAAGCTGCAGCACCTGGAAGAGGTTAGAAAAGGAGAGAAAGACAAAGGATCTACAAAGTGCTGCTCGTGGGTTGATGAGTCGGTCTTCCAGGAGCCCATTAGCTGGGAGTCACTTTGCCTGTTGTGTTGATACCGATGGCCTTTCTAACAAAGCAGGATCAACATACCCCGAGGGGTTAGTTGGAGATTAATGGGGTAGTAAGGTGTGCTGAGCCCAAAGCCAGAGATTTCACGATAACAGCTTTATTTATTTGCCTGGCTAGGTCGCCATGGTGACCTATGTTAAGCATGTGACATGGTCAAGAGCGGGTTCTGCTCATAGTTTTGTGCGATATGTTGTTTTTTTTTATTTTACAGGGAGCTTGATGGGCTGCCGTTAGTAACACTGCTAAATAAAGCCATGCAGTAAAATCTGAGCAGCACAAACTGTCTGGAATTTGCATGCATTCGGTTGGTGATGCAGAAAATTCCCAATCTGCTGCCACGTCTGTTCTATGCTGCTGAAGTCGCAGCCACAAGAGCACAGATTAGAAAAATCAATTAGTCTATTATTTGTTGCAGAGAACATTCAGTCAATAACCTTTATTTCACTTTAATCTTGTGAAAAACTAGATGAAGTGTTTTGACACCTTTGTCATTGGGCTAAAGGAGTGCGTCAGACCTGAACGCACTGTGTAGCTTCCACACCTTTAATATGCAGCTATCATGTGTATATATATATA